CCTTATAACAAGGATAAAATATAACAGACTCATTACAACCCAAATAAAGATAGAAATAGTAACGGACAAGATATAAATTCAAGGCATCTCAACAATTCTCCATCTTGAGTTGAATTTTTTCAAGTCACCAGTAACCAAGAACAACTCTCCTGCCTATTCTCCCGAAAGGTCTCGATGCGAACATTCACCAAGTCCAAGCTATGCTTAAACTTTTCAAAAGAAAAAGGTTTAGTTAACATATTTGCTGGATTGTCTACGGTAACTATCTTCTCTATGGAGAACAATGTCTTCAATTACATCTCGTATGAAATTCAATCTGACATCAATATACTTTGATCTTTCATGATAGACTGAATTTTTTGCCAAACACAAAACACTTTGACTATCACAATAAAGTATACGTCTCTGCACATTCAAACCCAAACTATCAATAAGACCTTGCAATCATATACCTTCTTTAACCCCTTCTGTCAATGACATGTATTCCGCTTCAGTGGTAGACAAAGCAAGAGTAGGTTGAAGTGTTGCTTTCCAACTTACCGCACAACCATAAAGAGTGAAGATATAACATGTTAAAGATCTTCTCTTCATGAGATCTCCACCATAGTCAGAATCCGCATAGCCAATAAGACTACACCCAATATCATTATAACCATAAACTAAGCAGATATTACTAGTACCTTTCAAATATCGCATAATCCACTTCACAGAGTCTTTCCAAGATTACTCATAAATTTACTAACTACACTCACAGCATGAGCCAAATCTGGTCTTGTACAAACCATGACATTCATTAAACTCCCAACAACCCTCCCCTCAAATAAAGGACCACGGTTTACCCCCTCCCTTGTAGCGGAAACTACGAGTATTATCCAATGGTGGTCCACAAAGTTCACTCATACTCTAAGTGTTTGCACCGTCGCTCCATCATGACCTCTCTCATGACATGTCTCCACATTGATGATGTCCAAAAGCAAAATCGTGAGGGCTTGGGCCCAAAGCGGACAATATCTCACCAATGTGGTGACATGTGTACGTGTGTGGTAACCTCTCAATGCTCAACACATAGGTTTTTGCATGATTGGCATAGACTTTGATATTGTCCTCTTTGTTTTCGTCTAGATTCTTGATTTTAAAATCAAATTGATGATGAACATCATCGTCATTCTTCAAATGATTTTAATTTTTATTTCTGGGGTAAACGGATTTAGACTATAGTAAAACATTTTACTTAAGCTAAACACAGAATGCTGAAGGTTCAGTAATATTATTATTCGGGACAGAAGATATTTCATTATATGCTGATTACTCAATGAAAGTCCTCTTGCTATAGCATTATTGGGCTTAGAGATTCGTATTTCTTGTGTCAGAGATTTGACTCTTGAATTATTACTTTTTCTCTGGTGCTTGTGAATCATTTGTGGTAAATTTACATACGTATGCTTGATGTGTCAGAGAAAATGCAATCATATAACTCTCGGACAATCATATAATTTTTTGCTTTGTTAATATAAATAACTTAGATCTCACTTTCTCTCCAAGAAAGAAAAATATCAAAACAATATTTTATCACGGACATAAAACGTAACTTACTTTGTTGTTATTATTTTGAAGGTACATAGTGTATGTGCAAGTCCAACTTTGTCACTTTCCGAAAGGTGCTTTTCTGATGGCTTGTCATGTACATCTGATAACTTTTATTCATCGGCATCTTTCCTCTCCAGCAGTCATGGCATAGCAGATAATTCAGTGCCAAGTTCTCCATACATTGATCCAGATATTCACAGCAACATCGAGTCAACACGCGTTGATAAGGAGCGCAAGAAGAGTTTGTCCTATAGGTCACTGATGCATCCTACCTCCCCACATGTAGGGAAAAGCAATGTATTGAAGGATGTAATGATATGGGGTGGAGGGATTGGAAGTCTTGTAGGGATTGTGAATGAAAGATTTGTACAAACTGGAATTTATTCCTTAGTGCCAAAGTTACTAGAATCCACTGCCATGTTAGATGTACAGAACATAGCTTTAGGTGGAAAACATGCTGCCTTAGTTACAAAACAAGGGGAAGTGTTTTGCTGGGGTCAAGGGAAGTGGGGAAGGCTGGGCCAGAAAATTGATATGGACATTAGCTCCCCCAAAATAGTTGATTCTCTTAATGGTATTCATGTAAAACATGTTTCCTGTGGTGAGTATCATACATGTGCTTTGACAGATTCTGGTGAAGTATATACTTGGGGGAATGATGTTTGTTGTGCGGATTTGTTTAATGAAGGTAGAACTAGAAGTCAGTGGATACCACAAAAACTTGGTGGACCCTTAGATGGCATCAGTATCTCAAGTGTTGCTTGTGGGGAATGGCATACTGCAATTGTCTCTAGCTGTGGGAGGTTATTTACATATGGAGATGGCACGTTTGGGATTCTCGGCCATGGTGATCTTCGCAGCTGTTCTAGTCCAAAAGAAGTTGAATCTCTTAGTGGCCTAAAGGTGAGGTCTGTTGCTTGTGGATCATGGCATACAGCTGCTATTGTTGAAGTCATGTTTGACCGTTTTCGGTACAACAGTGCTAGTGGTAAGCTATTTACATGGGGTGATGGAGATGAAGGGAGGCTTGGTCATGCTGACAATGGAAGCAAGCTTGTGCCAACATGTGTTACACAGCTTGTGGACTATGATTTTGTTCAGGTGTCATGTGGAAGAATGTTGACTGTAGCACTTACCAACATGGGCAAGGTTTTTGCAATGGGAAGTGCCAAATATGGACAACTAGGAAATCAAAATGCTAGGGATAAAGCAGTCATGGTTGAAGGACAACTCAAACAGGAGTTTGTTAAAGTAATATCAGCTGGTTCGTATCATGTTGCTGTTTTGACTTCTGCAGGGAGTGTCTACACATGGGGCAAGGGTGAAAATGGCCAACTGGGGCTAGGTGACACTGAAGACAGATACACACCTTGTTTTGTTGAGGCTCTAAGAGACAGGAAGGTAGATACTATCACTTGTGGTCCAAGCTTCACAGCTGCAATCTGTTTACACAAACCAATTTCTATTAGTGATCAGTCAACTTGTAGTGGTTGTAGGTTGCCATTTGGCTTCACAAGGAAGAAGCATAACTGTTATAACTGTGGCCTTTTGTTCTGCCGTGCTTGTAGTAGTAAAAAGATTATAAATGCACCTCTAGCCCCTAGTAAGAGCAAGGCTTTTCGGGTTTGCGATCAGTGCTTTGATAAACGGCAAGGAGGTACGCATTCGGTGATGGCATCAAAGTCTAGAAATTACAACACTCAGCAGACGCTGAAGCATCAGCAGAAAATTGGGGATGTGACTGAAGATAGGGGGGAGACAACTGTGACACAAGGTCCTTTGTTGTCTCTTGGTCAATCATGTTACAGGAAAAGCATGCCTAGTGGACGTAAGAATTGGAAAAACCAACAAGAAAGCCAGCAGGATGTAGAAGATAGTTCTTGTATGCTTGGTGGAATGCCACAGTGGGGGCAAGTTCCATGCCCTGACATGTTTAAGATCAATGGTGCAGAAAATTCAGTTGTGCCTGTTTCTTCATCCAAAAATAAACTAGCCACAGTTTCTCCCCTTAATGTGGAATCTACAGCATATAACTTCTCCCATGCAGAGGCAGATACAGCAAAGTCTGACAAGGTGCTCCTTGAAGAAGTTCAGAGGCTTAGAGCTGAGGTAGTGACTCCACTTTTTTGCACCCTTTAGATTGCTATAGTTTTAACAGGCTTCTGCTGCAGTGTTCTACCCTTTAGAACTTCTTCATGCATGTTCAAAAACTGTAAATTATGTTATACCCTTTATATACATGTTCAAGAACTGTAAAGTATGTTCAAAAACTGTAAAGTATTTTTTTTGTTTATATACCAGTTTCTCTGTATATATACATGTATCACACTACGACATTCATGACTGCACAATAGTTGAAAATATTTTCTTGTAGAGTTGAAAAGAATGTTTGCCTTTTGCTTCACCTCCAAACTATTGAATCTTATCTTTAATGCCTTTCGGACACTCTACTTTTTTATATTCATTCCAAGCTTTACATGTTCATTTTTTTAAGGAACAACTACTCAAATTTCTTCCATTTTAAGCATCTGTAGTAAGTTTTCTTCTTCTTCTTCTTCTTTTTTTAATTTCCTTTGGTATAATTGCTGTCACATTTTAGCTTTCAGGGTGCAACACTCCTCTCATTGAGTTTTCTACATTCTTCTGTTGTAAATTAAACTTTTCCTGTTCGTTTGCTATTTGCATTTACCTTTGTAATATGTATTGATTGTGTTAACTTACATTTGCTACTATTTCATATCATTGGACAGGCTAGGAGACTCGAAGAGCAGTGTGAGCTCAAGAACCATAAAATACAAGAGTGTCAACAAAAAATTGAGGAGAGTTGGTTTGTGGCGAGAGAGGAAGCTGCTAAGTGCAAGGCAGCCAAAGAGGTCATAAAAGCTTTAGCACTAAGGGTAAGTTCTTTATTATCATTATAATTTGTTTTAAATTTTAAATTTAGGTCTAAGCTGGAATGCTAGAATTTTCAACCTCCTTGGTAATTAAATTTGTATGTTATGCTTAAGGCAGGGAGGTAACAAATATATGACAATTGAAGTTAGCATATACAAGATTCAAGAATCAGAATCTGATCTTGCTAATAAGGATTCTTAGTAAAAATGGCTTTCCTGAAATATGCATGTGATAATTAAATCATCATTAGAACTTTAAAAGCTCTCTAAAAAATTTCTCTGCATGAACTATCTGTTTTGTAGGTCTAAAGTGGAGTCAATAATGCCCTCTATTGCTGTATACTTGACAATATATAACATAATAACATTAAAATTAGGACATGAAATTTGAACAGGATATGGGATGTTACATGAGTTATGTGTCTTTATGATTTGGCCTTAAATTTTATTGTACACTAATTAATTTAGCTATCATCATTTCAGCTTCATACAATATCAGGAAAAGATCACGCTGTACAGGAAGGAAAAGTTGGGCAGCATGAATTTGTTCCTAATGTGGCACCCATACATATAGATATGAAGAGTCCAAGAGATGGCAACATCGACAGTCTATCCAATTCCCCTATAGTATTTTCTGACACATTAAAATCAAAATTTGGGAGAAGTTTGTTCCCCAAAAATGATAAATTAATGGAGAATTCTAACTTAAATAGAGCGGATTCTCAACAAGACACCACTGAAGGCTTGAAGTCTGAATGGGTAGAGCAGTATGAACCTGGTGTTTACATCACATTCACAACCTTGCCATGTGGGAAAAAGGGCCTTAAGCGAGTGAGATTTAGGTAATGTCTATTATTCTGATCTAGTGCTTAGCCATAACAAACTAAGTAGTGATATTTTTTTTCACACACTATCATCACAAATTCCAAGTTGGACTCACCTGCATCATTGTGAAAAAGTAACCGTGGGATCAAAGTGTTATCTAATAGTCTGTGCAACAAATTAAAATTTGGGAAAAAACTATAAGACAAATTACCAAATCATAATTTGAAACTTTTCAAAGTGAATCAAGCACATACTTTCTTTTGAACACTCGATGAAATCTCATTATGGCTCCACTTTTAGGGAGTGGCCAAAGATTATTTAGTGCTTTGTAGTTTGTTCAAACATGTGCTTTGTTATAGCTACTCCTTTTTATCGCGATGTATATTAGTTGTTTTAGTTTATTTCATTAATGAGATGGTAGTTTCCTTAGCCGATGACAATATAGGATTCACCTGCATAATGTGGTGTCTGAATGACCCTGGCATGTGTGGTTTGCAGCCGGAAGCGATTCTCAGAGAAAGAAGCTGAAAAATGGTGGGAAGAGAATCAAGGCACAGTGTATCACAAGTATGGGATTGAAGGATATATAAACACTAGCCAAAGTCAGGTGAAAGGCTAATTTTTACTTGCCATTCATCTCTAGCAGTTTTCACGTAGTTCATGATAGGAGGGAGGTGATATTGGCTTCAGGCCTGAAAGAAGGATAAAGTTTTCTTGTATCTAATTACTCTAAAGCATCTTTTGTTCATGAATATCTTGGGGGCATTCCATCCTGTGTACAGTAAAAAATAACAGTGTGTCTCTTAATTTTCTCTATTCTATTTCAGCATTATAAAGTTGTTCAAATTTGTTCACCTCTTGTATTTTAATTTTCCAAGAATGCAAAGGCAAAAAAACACCCTTCAAACAGCGTGTAACTATACATAAAAATAGGTTACGGTGATGTACTTCAATTTCATCTTCATTAAAAATTAAGGATCAGTTACTTACATTAGAAAAATAAGAATCTTGCAGGCTGTTATTTGCCATTTATGTATTCATAAACTAGGATTCTCCCTTGGCCTTTAATGCAACATCCAAGAAATTGAACTAGATTCTTATGATGAACATTACATATAAACTTGACTTCACTTTCAAATTGTTCATCCATCTTGCTGGGCTGTCCAAAAATGAATTTCTTGTCTGCAACTACATTACCATTTTTCAAAGTGCCCTGCTCCATACGTGTGATTAAGAATTTCTTAAATTTTGAAAAGTGATTATCTCTGTCTAAGGAGGAAGAGGAAAAGCTCGTTATAAAATTTTCCTGTGCTTAACATAAACTTGCTCACAATCATGCTTGTTTTTGAACATGTATTCCAATAAAATGTTGAAATTACCTTGTTTACATCTCCAAAACCTCCTAGTTTATTTTCATCACTCAAGTTTTTTATTGCAGTCTTAAAATCCTTATTCCTGTATGTAGCTGGGACCTTTCAATTCTGTTGCTCCCAATATGCCACCTGATAAGTGATAAGGTAACATAATTTGGAATATCTTAATGTATAAATGAATCCAGTTATTCATGTATCCACAAAAATAAAAAATAAAAAATTATGCATTCCACAATTAAATGCATCAAAAGCTTTTTTACATTGTTGTGTAATCACAAATTATCATGTGTAGTAAATTATCTTAAAAGTCATTTTTAACATGATTTTTGATTGATTGGCATCGTAAAACAATGTATAGAAGTCATTTTTAAGCTCTATTAATATTGTGATGCCGAAAGGGATTTAAAAATGTAAATTCAGGGTTAAAAAGGTCTTCTAAAGATGAGATAGAAGTCTCCCACAAATGGTAGTTTGAATCATGAACAGATGTGCCAGTGCCACCATTTGCTTTGGTAAGAAATCATCAATTCAAAGACTTTCCAAATTGTCTCACTTCACCTCTAGGAACCTTCTTGGGTTTCTCTTACCGTCTAAACAAGGGAAATAGTGCAAAGAGGATCAACAGAACCTACTCCTCCAAGCTCCAACACCAATAATGGCTCCCTTCTTGCTTGAACCTCCTGCAAGATAAAAGGGTAGATCAAAATACACACTCAGTTCAAAATATATACTATTCTGGATGTTGGCGTGCTAAGTGCAAGAAGAGTGTGATATACTATCATTCATTCTACCTAGTTTATGTAAAGGAATTATCCTAATTATACCTTGTTTCAAAAGGGTGCCATATCAACTGTCTGGTTATCAGCAAAAAAGGCTGTTTCTGAGCATCAAATTCTCTGCCATCTGTATTGGGTAAACAAATCTGCACGTTGTTGTATCCAACTGTGAGGCAATGCACACAATCATGAAAGTTTTAATGGTGGCCTCACATCAACCAGAATGTATATAAATAAAAAATAATTTTTATTTAATAAGTTAATTTAATAGGATTGAAATTCAATCTCACTTTTTAAAAATGATTTTAGAAAAAAATAATTTTTATCTTGAAAACTAATCTTGTATAGTTGTGTAACCACTTTCGGAGAGAAGGGACAGAAAAAAGAAGTGTTACTGGATATGGTTTGTGTCAGTAAACCGAGGGATAACTTTTTGTCAGGACATAATAAAATGGGTGATGATATATGCACCTCCTACTTTTTATAAATACACCTTCAATCTCTTTTTTTAAAATAAAATTTCTAAACTCTTTCTAACTAAATATGATTATGTTGATGGAAACGTTAATTTTAGTATTCTAGAAATTATTTTCTGGAATAGTAAAATTATTATTCCAGAAAGCATTTTCCGGAAGTATGTTTTTCATATAATTTTGGAAAGTTCTTTCCGGAACATTAATTTAGTATTCCGGAAAATACTTTCCAGAATTATGTAACAAGCACATTTCCGGAAAATATTTTCTAGAATACAAAATTTACTATTCCTAAATATGCTTTCCGGAACAAAAATTTTATTATTCTGGAAAACACTTTCCGGAACAAATAATGAGAAGAATTACTTGGAAGAAAAAATGTATATGATTTGACACATTTTCCTTTAATATTGAATCCGCTTACAACTTATAGCAAAACTAAAAAGGGAAGAAGATAATGCAGAAATTGAAAAGGGAAGAAGGGGAGGTATGGAGGTGCGGAAAAAAAGTAAAGAAGAAGAAATGGGGTGCACAAAGAAGAAAGAAGAACGGTGAGAAGGGAGGTGTGAATCTGAAAAATTATGTTAAAAAAATAATAAATCCGGAAGTGTGCTTGTTACATAATTATGGAAAATATTTTCCAAAATACTAAATTTAATGTTCCGGAAAGAACTTTCTGGAATTATATAAGAAACACACTTCCGGAAAATGCTTTCCGGAATAATAATTCTACTATTCCGGAAAATACTTTCCGGAATGCTAAAATTAATATTTCCATCAATATAATCGTATTTAGTTAGAAGAATATTTTAAGAATTTTATTTTAAAAAAATAGATTGAAGGTGTATTTATAAAAAATAGGAGGTGTATATATCATCATCCTAATAAAATTGCTTGTTTTAAGATTATTGTTTATTTCTTCAGTTACCCTTTTATTTGGGTCTATCTTCAACTTGGCCCAAAGAATATACTCCAGAGCCCACTCGTGCCTATTATTTTCAAGGCAGATGATAAACACACCTCCACTCTCGTATAAACACACCCCCTTTTTTTAAAAAAAAAAATATAAAATATCTAAATTACCCTTTTAAAAAAATGAAATTCCTAAATTTACACCTCCCTTCCCCGCACCCCCCTTCCCCTCACAGAAAAGCACCAGAACGGTACCAGAACGGGCCGTTCTACAAGAAGAACGCCCGTTCTGATTGCAGAACTCCCCGTTCTGCAGCAGTACGGCCCGTTCTGCAAGCAGTACGAGACGTTCTGCAAGCAATACGGACCGTTCTACTTTCAGTACGGGCCACCGCGTCACATTTAAAATGACTACCTTATGACTGATTTTAAAACTCCGATTATTTTTAAAAAATATAAAAAGCAAAAATTTTAATATAAAATAATTATTATAAAATTATATTAATTAAGTTTCATTTAACATAAATTTAAAATAGAATAAAAATTATATAA